CTATGCAAAACTGTCTTTTGTTCATGCAAACATCTTTAATCAGTTTTCCCACAAATACTAAAATGCTCACTTATGGCATAATTTACAGTACAGGTGATGAATTAAAAATACCTACTACAATCTCACTAGTATCAAGACAACTTACGCAAAAACGTCAAACACACTGGTGTGTTTCCGGCATGTGTTGTATTGGAGTTGCTGTGTAGTGAACCTTAAAAATTATTTGTCAAAGTATTTATATTCAGACTTAAGCTGTCTTTATTTGTAGAATTACATAGCCAATGTACAGTACAGTCGATGATTTAATATTATTAAAAGCTCATATGTTTGTGGAGACAAATCTTTTAAGGATCACAAATGACCCCAGTATCTATCACAGGCGCTGTTCTGTTCCATGTCCAATAAAACTGATTCGATGCGTAATTATGATTATGCAATATACTGGAGACTCAAAGGCTACCTGATATTGGTCTTTGAGAATTGTTTTATTTTAACAAATCAGTAGCTGAAATATTGATACACAAAAAGTCACTCCCTCGCCTGCTAAATGCCTACATTAACCAGATGCTATAGTCTAAACAGCTCTCTTATTTTTGAGCCGTACTTGACCTTGCAGTGACATGGAAAACAAAACCATGGAAATGATCTATAAATATATACAGATTGGATGGGTGATAACATCTGGGGATGCAATAGCTTGTTCTTTTTTAAAATCATGGCTACCTTCAGCACTTTAGTTGTTGTCATCATTTTTTACTTATCTTTCTTTTTTTCCTCTTTTCCCTCCACTTTGTTTCTGTTTTTTCTGGCTCGCTATGCTGCATGTCCCAGCTGGCAGTGAGGGGGTTTTGTCGAGACGAGTCTGATTTGGGCGTGTTATAAACTGAAGTTAATGTGGCATTAAGTTATGAAAACTAAATTATGAATAGGGTGCAGGTGTTTCCATTGTTAGTTTCTACCAAAAAACAAATAACTGAATTAAGTTTTGACAGAAGAGCATTGTGTGTGTGTGTGTGTGTGTGTGTGTGTGTGAGTCCAAGTGCATAAGATTAGAAACAGTAGTGTCAAATTCTAAACAAAGAAGTTAGTTAGACTCAAGACATTTTGAATTAAGACACGAAATTGGAGCATTGTAGAGAGCAGAGAACCTGGATGCTCTGATGCATACTCAACTGAGTCAGGACATCTCACAAAGGCACATCTTTTCCAATCCTGATATTTATAAAATGTGCATTTTGTTCATCAAACATACAATAAGTATCTGCTGGTTAAATGATAATGTATCAGTCCTGTTTCTGGGTCTCCTTTCTACCATGGGTCTACTGCTACAAATGACACTGTCACCTTTTTAACACGTTGCAATGCTTTTGTTATATTTAATAGAAACAAGCCCCCCAAAAGTCATTAGGGATCATGGTCACTATACATATCTTTACGTTTTTAAAAACTGCAGTCCATGGGCTCGAATATCAAATATTTGAATCTCTCTGGCTGAATAAAAGTTCAGTGTTGACATTTTAGGAATTAGTCAAAACCAGGCACTAATGTATTATGACTAACCTTGTGTTGTGAATGGGCCCATTTTTCCCTCTTTTTTTCGGTCTGTTTTCAGGATCTTCTTCCTCCGGTATGCTAGCTACCAGGCAATTTACGATATGTCAGCTAGCCCAACTTCACTGACCCTCCAACCACCATTGCTATTTAGTCTTCTTTCAAAGGTACAGCAGAGTACTGTGTTTTAGTTTTTTAGAAGTACTTCAGTCAAAACATGGTATCTGATCTTTAGGTGAAAACTGGATTCCTAACTTCCTGCCAACTTCTAACTCTGCTAAACTTTGTGAACCTCTTGATATCCGAATGTTAAACTTTATTGTAACAGCTGGGGAAGCTGAAAGAGTTTGTCCTGTTTTTCTTTCTCTCAGTGGTCCTGAGTTCGATTTTTAGACTTTGGATCTCGGGATGACTAGCAATGCCATACTTAACAAGTAGATACATGTATTCGGTCACATTATGCCTTTGTTATTTAAGGCCAAATGTTTTTTTTAAGGTGGAACAGGAGATTAGGTCTCAAAAAACCATTAGGCTTGTAAATAAGGAATAATTGAAAATGTTTGGGTCAAGGTATCTCGAAGCACTTCGAATCACACATGTTGTCTATCATAATAACTGACAACCCAAATATTATAGCAATCTTGTCAATTCACAATTTTATTGGTGTTATTCTTTGTGAACAACTTGCATTTTTTTTAAGAAGAATAAATGTTTGCAAAACTAATAATTCGGCCACAAGCGCTGGCCAACACTAACTTCTATTATAAGTAACCCATCAGTCAAGTGGGACAAACTTTAACTGGGGAAACTTGAGTAGCCCCAAATCCACCTACTGCCTATTACTCTGAGCAACTCCTTAGTTGGAAAGAGACTATGAAGCACTCTGGTTCCAGAGCAGAGAGACAGTTTGTGTGGAGTTTGAGCCCAATTACAGCTAAAAAGTCTCTCAACCTGTCACATCACCTTGGGCTACTTTCCCTCCCTGGCAGGTTATATCGTTATACCTACAGTAAGTTTTCAATGCCAAGGTCATCAGTGTCACAAGTCCCAAAAAGACTGTTTCAACATCCCACTTTATGAAATTTTCCCATGGAAATAACTAGGCCAAGACACGTTATTCTGAATAGAGAGGTTGACTATTAAGGCAGTACTATGAGCTCATATAGAACGTTTTGGAGTTTTAGAAGCTTTGCATTTATATTGTTTTGCTAGAGTATGTTATTATCTGAATCTGGGTACAAATTTAAAGCTTTCTGATAACCAATGAAAGTCATTGCATTGTTAGCAAGTCAAATGCCATGTGGTTGAAACACTGTGGGATGGATGTTAGATTGGAACATAACACAGTATGGTATGGGCTTCAAGAGCTTACAGTTACACAGATTAACCCTTAAGAGCCCAGACCTATTTCTACTTTCATGAAAATTACGGGGGTCTTATATCAAATGAATCATATATAACCAAGTCTCTAAGTGTAAAGAGGCAGTGACACCAGTGTCACTGTGGGTCCTTAAGGGTTAAAAAGGAAGGTTTTGTCCTAACATATGACCATTATGAAATCCGAATGATGTAAAATGACATGAACATGCTCACATATGAGTTATAGAAATGGTCTGAATAGAATTAGAAGTGATTTCTATACATTTTAATAAGATACAGATAGTTTTATTTTTCCTAAAACTGTTATTTCAGTTTAAGTGAATTCAATCTTATTTAAATAGCACCAGATGTCACCTCAAGATCCTGCAATAATAGAGAGACAACCAAAACAATCACAGGGCATCCTGTTAGCAAGCACTTGGCGACACTGGGAAGGAAAAACCTTTGCATTTTCCCAGTGCATTTTTAACACTTTAACACATAAAATTACAAGCATGGTAATACCTATTTTGCTTTATATTATTCAGTACTACAAGCGCATTTGCTTTGAGTGCGAGTTGTTTTGATGAACACTTTCGTCCTGTACTTGTTTAAATGCAGACTTGTCTGTAATGTTTTGCACTTGCACATTCATAAGAGAATACTGGGCTGTGCTACTGAGAAGTGTTCCCGTAGACCTTGATTTGTTTCCATGATTTTCCCAGTGCAGCTGGCAGCACTGTGGACTACTTCTCTGGTCTCTGTGCCAACTCTGTGTGTAGTTGGCAGTAACAGCCAGAGTGATATGGATTATGGACTGTACTGACATGTATTACAGGGCGCACTGAATTCTCTGCTCAGTGTCAGTGTCAGTGTTGTCACTTGGATAAATCTGTGGTTTCCTGTTGGAGGCTGACAGACCTAGCCCTCCATCAACAAGCCTAGATTTGCTCTCCATGGAAATTATACTGAGGTCCTGGCCACATACAAATGCTTGTATGCACACACAGACATGAGTTAAGTCCATGTTTAACAAAGTAAAATATAGACTTTTTATTGTTTTGTTTTGTTTTGTTTTTTGGCCATTCTCCAGTAAACATGAAATGCAGGCACAATTCTTTCTTTCTCTTGAAACTAAAGGCTTTAATTCATTTTGCTGTTTTGAAGACAATGCGCAACACACAGTGATACAGTGTATGTCTTGTAAGTTTTTCTGTCAATATACAACTGTTGCAAAATCACGAACTAGTGTTACTTTGGAAATTAATATCTCAAAAGATTTACAACAGCTGAATCTTACCAAAGCAAATTTAGACTGATTCATTCAGGATATTCTCTCAGTGAGTGTTAGTTGAGGGTCTTGCTTTTTTCTGCCTTTTTGTAACACATGCAGTCACACACTTTGATCACCTTAGCTATACTCCCTACTTCCCATTTCTCCTGTCCTCCCATAACACTCCCATGTAAATTTGTTTTCCTCACAGTAAAGTCTTTGCTGTTTTTGTTCCCTCTCAATCCTTACAACAGAAGCAGTTTCACAACTGTTTGGCTCCAAGTTTGCATAATTCCAAGTGAAACCAAGAGAAACCACCAGAGGAATTGTATGCACTTGTGTATGGATTTCTTTCTCTCTCTCTCTCTCTTTCTTTCTGTGTGTGTGTGTGTGTGTGTGTGTGTGTGTGTGAGACAGAGAGAAGGAGAGTAAGAGAGGCTAAAGGACAGCATGCCGAGGAGTGGATTGAACTCTCATCTATCTTACTCGATACCATCTCACCATGCCATTTTCCTTCCCTGTCCTCCATGTTTCAGGAAGCGCATGCTTTCATTAGTGCAGAGAAAGTGGAGGATGTGACAGAAGAAAAGATAAGAGCTGAGCTCAGCAAGGCCCCAGCTCATACTCCCACACATTTTGTGCGAAGGAGCTCTAAGTCTGCAGAAAAGGAGGAATTAGTGGTAAGTCTCCTGTAATGCTTCTGCTATCCATCAGAGGGAGACAAAGTCTATAACATATATATAATGATCCTCGAATACAAAAGCCCAGTGACTTCTGTGTTTTAGGAGTTATTTTAGCCTTCTTTGTGTTTTGTAACCAATAATATGAAAAGATTAAAACACACAGTGTTTTTTAATATAACAATTGAGTAAAAAATAAATTAATTAATTAAAGAAATTTAAAA